CTTGGGAAGGGTATGAATCCACCTCTTCTCCACCCTCACCTATGGATTAATTAGTAAGATTTGTATCACTAAATCATTATTACATCAAAAAAAATTCATGCACTCTAAAAAATATATTCTGGCTTTAAATAACATAGCAAGGGTTGATAAATCATAAAAAACAAACAAATTAGTCAATCAATCATTCTTGCTGTTGTGCCTTCTCGCATTCATCAGGTGTATTCCTTAGGTTTAAGGCTCCAAGTTCTCTACAGAGAATTATCATATGGGACAACAGCCTAGTGGATTAAAGTGCCGGTTTGTGAATTTGGTGACATCGTAATTGAGAGTTCCATCCCTGGACCAGGCAAGCAATATAAATAAGAACTAGAGGAGATATCCATAGACATGAGCAGTGAAATGAGAACAGTCTATCCCCACTGATTAAATAAAGGCTTCAGTTCAAAATTCCCTGTATGTTACCTGGATCGATAAAGACCTGATGAAGGTCAGAGGGCACAACGGCTGAAACATTGTGATAACAACATCAGAGATGACGACATTAGTCTGCATGTAAATAAATGTAAATAATAATAACTCCTTATTCCAGAAATTGAGACAGAAATACATCGAAGCTTACAGCACCTGGTATTCCCAAGCGGTCACCCATCAAGGTACTGACCAGGCTTGATGAAAAAGTTGAAAAAATAATAATAATAATCAACATATATACAATTAAATATAATAATTATGAAATAAAAGAAATAATAATTGTGAATTGTATTAGAACCACTATATTAATTTTATGCAATATTTTGCTTTTTTTAGTCAAACTTAAAACCCATTAATTTTTTTTATACATTTTATCACCTGAAATATAAAAGTTATTTGATACACACTGAAAGTTAATGTAAATGAAGTATTGTGTAATTTTTGTTCATTGGATTGAGTCTTAATTTATTTAAGTTTTTAATAAAGTAAATGTTAATAATAAAAGTCAAATGTTACAAATTATATTAAAGAATTTTATTATCTGAAATATGCAAGTCAATCTGTAAACACTGAAAGTTAATGTAAAGCAAGAGTTGTGTACATAGGATTGGATTGTAATTGGGTACCTTGAGGTGGTGTAATGATTAGCAAGCTTGTCCTGCTAGAACATTTACGACAGAATAGTGAGTTCAATCCTCACTGGCTGCCTCATACTTTTGGTCTTGTGCCACGCTTGGAAAATCACTAGGATTGAATTGTAATTTATTTATGGTAATATTTTAATAAGCTAAATATTGACGATAAAAGTCAACTCAAAGTTATCAGTTTTATTAAAGAATTTTATTTTATTATAAAATAAGGGCAAATATTACTTCTTTTCTCTGTGACAACACTTACCATATATACTCTTGTATTATGCAACTTTTGAAGACCTAATTTTGAAGCTAATTTTAAGGGTATCATACACAAGATATAAAATTAGTGTATGTACTGCTAGATCTTGGCTGTGCCGCTGATCAAACTATATATCTATTTATTGTGGTCAAATTGGCTTCAAAGTTGGGTCTTCAGAAGTTGCATGATACACAAGCATAAACAGTAATTTTTAAATAGATCAAATGATTGAAATAGTGGTGGCTGGAGTATTTTTGTAATTTTTTTATAATTTTCAGTCATGAAATACTTTGTCCTAAAATGCTTACCGACTAAATTAAGGGCTGGGAGGTAATTTCTTAAATATTTAGTAAGAGGTGGTGAGAATAAGGATGTTCCAGGTGTTTTTTTTTTCCTTAAAAAATTTAAAAAGAAAAAAAAATGAATAATCATGTTGGCCTCTCTATTTGAAAGTGGAAGATATTTTTTTTATCAGCATGCAAAATTCTACTTTTTTTTTTTCCCCCAACAACCTCTCACCCATCATTGTTTGTGAGGTGATTCAGTCTTCACGGATGTCCCATTAATGTGGTTATTTGCCAAACCTAGCTTAGTATCGTTCTACACACATACAATGTGGACATTCCCATGCTTACAAATTTCACATCATACATAAAGGCTGAAGAATGGGTCAGCTAAAATTAACACGATAACAATCAAGAAAAAAACAACTATAACTTAAAAATTTGTAACAATAAAAGTGCTTCATCTCCAAACTTGAGAATACTTTTACTACAAATCTAATCAACAATACAGAATAGAATAAATTACAAGAAATTGCCAATGATAGAAAAGCTGGAGTAAAGGTCTCTACCTCCATGACAATTTTGTTAACCTAATAATCTAAGTGCAATCATTTTGATCCTTTTTACACTGAAAGATACTTTGAAAAAAAAATTTTGCATTTAAAGGAGACATACTAATCCCTAATTCTTTATGATTCTTTTATATGATCATTTAATTCCTCTACTGGAATTTCTGGTGACTATCTTGGGAAACTGAATGCAAGAATTTGCGGGAAACCTGGAGGAAAAATGATCTGGATGCAAGTTCAAATCTTATTCAGAGCTAATTCTTTATTCTGAGAATTTTGTAGTTTAAGAGGTGAATTCTTGTAATGAAAGAAAAAAAAAAACAATGAAAAGGAAATCTTGAAACAGATACATATTACACAGTTATTTGTATTTTTTATATATATATATATATATATATATATATACACACACACACACACACACACACACACGTTTTATTAAAAAAAAACTATAAAGTCGTCTGTTTAATTTTTTATTATATTTTTCCAGTTTTCGAATAAGGTGTTGAATATTGTGCTCAAAGTTGTGAATGAACCGTCCAAAGTTTATATTATATTTATTTTTGTTCAAATACTCTCAACAATAATAACAAAATATGGATTTTGGACAGTTTATTCACAACTTTGTGCACAATATTCAACACTTTATCCAAAAACTGGAAAAATATAATAAAAAATTAAACAGACAGATTTTGTTGGTTCTTTTTAATCAAATTTGTTTGAATGAATATTTGCTACATATATATATATATATATATATATATATATATATATGAGAGAGAGGGAGATGGTGCACTGAAAACTTTTTTTATGAAGTGACTGTACATTAGAATATTTTTCTTCCTTTTTTTTTTTTTTTTACCCCTTTTTGTTCAGACAGTGAACTTTATTTTCTGCACCCCCTCATGTTTTTGCATAATTGTGTGCGCGTATATAATGAAAGTGTATTTTATCCCAATTGTAAACTCAGGAAAGTTACTCAAATTATTTTTTAAAGCATTAAAATTCATAATTTATTTGTACATTTAATTAAAATTGTGCACATTTCTTTTGTCAGACTATGATAAATGTAGTGACTTGGTTTATCTTAGTCTGACACAAGGCTATAAGTGTGAGGTACCAAGTGATGATCAAACTTGTTCTATGAGAAGAGCCACAAACACACACGCACACAGGCTTGCTACAGCCATTTCTATTTAAGCGTTTCTTATTGTAACTGCAACTGTTGTGGTTTTTCATATTATTGGAGACCTGTCAATATTTATTTAGTAAACTTTGGAGTAGAAATATTGTAAGTTACAACACTCTTTCAAGTGTGGACATCTTGATTGCGTGACAAGGAAATGAGTAGTTAATTTTTTTTTTTTTTTTTTTTTTAACCCGTGCTTGAACACTGATTTCAGGCACCGACAGGAGATTGCTATATATTTCATCTTTGAAGCAGGTCATGAAGGGATTTATTGTAAATGTTTGTAATTGATTGCGGCATCTAACCTTTCTGCTACATCTTTATTTTTCCTTTTCTTTTTTCTTTCCTTTCTTTCTTTTTTTTTTCTATTTTTTTTTAATCAGTTGAGTGTGTGTAAAGAAGAGGTTCCCCTTTTTACACGTTCTTCACAAACAATAGTTAACTAAATTGTATATCTGGATAATGGGTAAAAAATGCATAAAATAAAAAATAAGCTTTTTGAAAAAGAAAAAACAGGTAAAAGTCAATACATCATAGGACTGAAATTTGTTACCATTAGAAATAACTTTAAGTTTTTTTTGTTTTTTTGTGTATGTGTGGATTAGATGATCCTCTATTGCCTAATACTTTCGTTTAAAAAGATATTTTTACACTACAACAGGTTTAATTAAAGATATTGTGAAATAGACAAAAAAAAAATCTGATAATAATTCTTTTTTGTATTTAGCTGTTTATTATTTATTTATTTATTCAAGTTTGAGATGCTCACTGAATTTTTGAGAAAGAGGAGGGAAAAGTTGGAAGTCGTAAATATTGAACTTCTTCCTCAGTAGATTCTTTTTTTTTCTTTTTTTTTGGTTTCGTTTTTTTATCTTTAAATCACCTGCTTCATTTTTTTTTTTTTTTTTATTTACTTATCTATACTTCAAGTTTTTCTCAATACAATCCATAATTCCGATATCACCTTATCATCTCATTCATCGACCCGATCCGCGCGTATATATATATATACACACACCTATACCTGCTTCTTTCTATTGGGTGACACTAAAACGAGCACTTTCATTCACTTCATTTAATTGTCTGTCTCTCTCACTCTCTTTCTCGTAATTATTGTATTTCCCTTATCTCTCCCTCTCTACCACTTATCAAAATCTATACGTCTCTTGTATTTTCCTGTCCCTTGTCTCAGCATCTCCCTTCCCGCAAGAACTCCCCGTCCCCACGGCCTCTGCCACGCACCCTTTCACACTTAAATGTTTCTCGCAAACACTTCTTACCTGTGTCAAGGTGTACCTAAGTTAATGTCCTCTGCTTTTTAAAAACACTTTCTGCCAATACTAGTCCCGAAGTCTGATTCGCTCTTCTGTCTTAAACGTGTGTACGTGTGGAGAAAGTGATTGGGGAGGGGATTTGTGTGTGTGTAATGTATTACCTTGGGAGATGACGGAGTTGCAGTACAAAGAGAGGGTAGCAGCATGTGTAATTTGTAAAACAGTCATCCAGCCTCGGCTCTCTAATAGCAGGAGAAGCAGTTAGGGTTGTGTGTATATGTGTGAATGGGATCTCCTGAACCAACCATATAATGGGCAGATGCTCCCACTCTCTCTCTCTCTCTCTCTCTTCTCTCTATCTTTACCCCCCTCTCTCTCTCTTTTCCACTCTCTCTCATTTTCTCTTTTTCTTTTCCCTTTTCTTTCTCTCTCTCTTGTTTTCCTCTCTCTTTCTCTCTCTCTTGTTTTCCTCTCTCTTTCTCTCTCTCTTGTTTTCCTCTCTCTTTCTCTCTCTCTTGTTTTCCTCTCTCTCTTGTTTTCCTCTCTCTTTCTCTCTCTCTTGTTTTCCTCTCTCTTTCTCTCTCTCTTGTTTTCCTCTCTCTTTCTCTCTCTCTTGTTTTCCTCTCTCTTTCTCTCTCTTGTTTTCCTCTCTCTTTCTCTCTCTCTTGTTTCCCTCTCTCTTTCTCTCTCTCTTGTTTCCCTCTCTCTTTCTCTCTCTCTTGTTTCCCTCTCTCTTTCTCTCCCTCTCTCACTTTTCTCTCTCTTTGTTTTCCTCTCTCACTTTTCTCTCTCTTTGTTTTCCTCTCTCACTTTTCTCTCTCTTTGTTTTCCTCTCTCACTTTTTCTCTCTCTTTGTTTTCCTCTCTCACTTTTTCTCTCTCTTTGTTTTCCTCTCTTTTCTCTTTTCTTTTCTCTCACTTTTCTCTTTTGTTTCCTCTCTCCTTTTCTCTCTCTGTTTTTCCTCTCTTACTTTTTCTCTCTCTTTGTTTTCCTCTCTCACTTTTTCTCTTTCTTTCTTCCATATTCTGTTTTCCTCTCTTTCTCTTTTTTGTTTCTCACTCCTTCTTTCTGTTTTCCTCTCTCTTTTTGTTGCTCTCTCTCTCTCTCATTGATTACTTTCTTTTAACTAGAATGTGAAGGGACTAAAAGCAGGCAGATCTAACTTTGGCTCTGTCCACTTGTAATGCTACAATTAGTTTTACTACTAGTACTTCAGCCAGGAGTATCATTACGACACTACATCTTTTGCTACAAATAATTACTTGACCTATAACTACTATTTTGACTACAATCACTTCTGTTGCCAATGTTTTTTGGTTGTCATGAAGTTGCGACAATTACATTGACTACAAATTTTATCACCTCCTGGATTCATCTGCCATATCTACCACATCTCATGTTAGGGAATTGTGTCTATTCTTTTACACATTGATATTTCACACCAGTAGTAAATCATGTGTTGCATTTGGGATGAAGTGACAGCAAGTCTCCTCACCATTCCGGCTGCTTTTACCTTATGTTGTTGTCGGGATGGTTCCAATTCTATCGGCCTTTTCAGTAGACACTTTGTGATTATTCCCAGCACTCTAACAACAGTTGGCACTACTGCCACTTTTATGCACCATTATTTCTTCAATTTTCTGGTGAGGTCTATATACTTATCTAGCATTTCATCTTTCAGTTTTACTCTGTAATTGGCTGGGACAAATCAACTGACAAATTTTTTTTTTTTTTTTTTCTTTGTTTATTAGAATTAGATATTTTGCTTACTATGTTCACCTAATACGAGGCCTAAGAGCCATTCAAACTAGAGAGTTACTTAATGGGGATGCTGTAATGGTGTATAAGGGGAGCAAGTGTTGGATATTATGAGGATATGTAGGACAGATAACGTTTGACTCGACTTAAAAAAAAGGTTAATATTGTAGTGATCAGGAGTCTGCTACCCATTACAACAGTTCAGTCAGATAAGAAGGGAATGAGCATAAGTTGAATCAGTGTATATGGCATTGCAGATCCTAGGTGTAAACGTTTGGACTGGTGGAACCCAGGAATATAGTTTGTCGAAATATCTACCATGAAAATAGCGAAAGAATAGTGAGAGGCTAGCAATGGGAAAGAGGTTGAAGGGTGGAAAACAATTCACCACCCACAAGGCAACACAAATTCTCTTGAACTTGGCTGACGCTGGAAAGACACCACTGTATAAGTAGGTTTGAAAAGACCAATTTACTTTTTTTTATGTTGAGTTACTGTTCCCTTGTAGGTGAGGTTCCTTATCTCTTTTCCCATAAGGAAAAAAATTCAAATTTTAATACTTTCCAGAAGTGAAACTTATTTCAATGATAAAATCTATTGTGTATTTATTGATAAATAATAGTGTGTGTGTTTGTTTGTGTGTGTGTGTGTGTGTGTGTGTTTGTGTGTGTGTGTTTGTGAAATTCTATTCAAAGTTGGAAGAATTTCACTAAGAAAAAAAATTTTACTTGTCTAAAGAAAATAGTTTCCAATATTTTCTTGAAACTTTCTTTTAATGTAATATCCAAGAAGAATATAGATGATCATGACTTCGACCTTGCCTACCGAACGCTCCTTTGTGGCCGAGACGGTAAGGCACGTCAGCGTAAATGACGGTTCCGTATAGGATGCAGGTTCGAATCCTGTCAAAGGACGAATATTTTCTATGAAAATTTCTCGGACATTCAGGCCGGTAAATGTTATTTAATACTGTTTATTATAAACAGAGCATTTACTTAAATACTTGTATCTATAAAAAAAGAACGTTAAACATAAAAATGTCTTTAATAAATAAATTGTCGGATTTTGTCCATTTCTTAATATATGATCATGACTCTCCACAGATTTATTTTCTTCATTATCTGTGAACTGTCATTATTTCTTGGGAAATAGTGGAATGGTTTCCCATTGCCTTCTCCAAGGTTCAGTATTCAGATTTCCTTTTCTTAAACTGGTTGCCACTCGAGGCTAGAGAATCCAGTCTACCCTGCTATTTAACCCATAACTAGGTTCCTTGCATGATTCTTTCAATGATTCCAGTAACAAGATTCAATGCATTGCCAGAAGCAAAAGTTTGAAAATGTTGGAATATCAAGTTGTGAATTTCTTGTGTCTGGTGTATCTAGGCATATACAACTTTATTCAGTTTGCTAACAGTTTTGTTTTGTTGCTTTTAAGTATCCCATTGTTATTATTCCAGTAGATCTGTTAAGAATCTTAGGGTTCCTCTCAATGTTGTTTATTTTGACCCACCCCCACTTATATATAATTCCAGCAAGAAGAACAGTATTTAATAATGATGAAATCTTTTGAAGAACAAATCATACTACATAGATTATTTTTTGTCATTCACTTAGTCTGATATAGAGAGTTTGTATATCATGCACTTCCACACATAATTGTATATATTAACATGGAAGAATATGATATGTAAATGTCTATATAACAGAAAAATGTTAGGCAATTGAATGATAAAGTGGAAAAATTCTGTGTAACATGTTTCATCCTCTAAAAGGACTTCATCAGATTAAAGTCTTATTGGAGAAATTATATATATCTAGTGGAGGGGGAAATATAAATGTAAATGATGGTTATAATTATGCACCATTGGGAAGGTACTGAATATTTGAGGATGGTAAATTTAAAATTTAACAAATTGTAAAAAAAATACTATCATATTTACACACACACACATACACACACACACACAGGGTGATTTAAAAAATGCTAACACTTCCAAGGTAGTACATTTAATAATAATAATAATAATAATGCTCCAATAAATGTATTAAGAATATTTTAATTACCCTATATATTTATATTTTTATGTTTATACGTTATTTTTATAGATACATTTACATAAGCTCTGTTTATAATAAACAGTATTAATTACATTTACTGTCTTGAATGTCCAAGAAATTTCGTAGAACATATATGTCCTCTGACAAGAATCGAACCTGTGTCCTACATGGAACCATTTGGCCATTTCATATTATATATATATATATATATATATATATATATATATATAATGGGTGTGTGTGTAAGAATTGAGATCAAATATGGATTAGAATCTAACAGAATGGTATAAGGAATAAATAGGAAACATTTATAAATTTAATATGTTCTGCTTTTATTGAAGCTTTATCAGAAATATGGAGAAGAAAGAAAATTCTGCTATTTTTTATTTATTTTATTTTTTGTTGTTTTAAATGAGGTTTACTTCACCAATGAAAAACAAGCACAAAAATAAAAAAATACCAGAATTTTTTTTTCTCCTCCACATTTAATTTCTGATGAAGCTTAAATAAAAGTGAAACATTTCCTATTTGTTCTTTATCCTGTTATATATATATATATATATATATATTTCTGAACACAAAGAAATGACATTCTTTTGAAGCTCAAAAAAAAAAAAAAATTAATGGGTTTTAAGTTTGACTAAAAAAAGCAAAATATTGCATAAAATTAATATAGTGGTTCTAATACAATTCACAATTATTATTTCTTTTATTTCATAATTATTATATTTAATTGTATATATGTTGATTATTATTATTATTTTTTCAACTTTTCATCAAGCCTGGTCAGTACCTTGATGGGTGACCGCTTGGGAATACCAGGTGCTGTAAGCTTCAATGTGCAGGTGATATAATGGATAATGACTCAGAATTGTTAATCAGAGTGCTGAGTTCCAATTCCAGTTGGGTTCGTTATATTCACTTACATGCAGATACTTTTGGGAGACCATTATTATCTCCCAAAACAAAATAAAATTGTGTACAAAATATTTAAATTTCAGCATTAATTAACCTATAGAGGTTCATGTGCAACTAAAAAAAAAACAAAAAAAAAACAACCAACAATTTGTTAACATTTTTCCAGTTACTGGGTTTTTCTGTATTAATTACTATTTATCTGTTTTTCTATAAATATTTTGAAGATCATTATATTTATTTTCTGTTTACCTAAAGTTTTATTTATCAACTTTATTTTTCTCATTTATTTTTAACCAATTGATAGTTTGGGTACTAGTACTGTCAAAAATGGTAGTAGAGATTATTTTTATTGCATTTTATTTATGATGACTTTAAAATTTCCAAGTGTTTTAGGCTTAAATCTCAACTTATATTTTAATTTTTCTTTCTCTCTTTTTCAAACTTTTAAATATTTGTGGGTTTTTTTATTTATGTACAATTATTTCATAATTTGTCCTGCTTTCTTGTATTTTTTGTTAAACTGACACTATATATATTGTTGCATCCTTAAAGAAAGTTACAAATAGACAAAGGTGGTACTCTAGTGAAGGAACTGTAACAAGTGCTTAGATGAAATAAAAAGATGTTCATTATAAAAGAGAATACACTACTGAAAGACAGGGAATTGGGGAGCAGGCTAGTAATTCCCGAAGCAAGCCCCCAGGTATATCCTGTACTCACTATATATATCTACTGATATTGTTAGTCCACATAGGTGATAGGGAGTGTGAGACATTCCATTACAACAACACCTCCCCTTGAGCTAATTTTCCCATGAAATTTTGCTCATTTCTTTTGGGGGTCAGGACATAATTGTTTGATTTTTTTCCTCTTCCTAGTACTTCTCCCTCCCACCAGCACAAAATAATATATATATATATATATATATATATAAGTACATCTGCATCCAGGGTAAAACGATAAACCACATCCAACAGCAAGGCATCTGATCAGGAGGCTTTGAGGAGTGTTGAGCCACTTCTTAATTACTGGTATTCCCAGGTGCCCCCTAACCCAGGGATTTTAGCACCTGTTAGGGTCCCAGCTATGGGAAAATAGTTAACCCCGAAACTGAGGTAAAAAGCATTATGAAAGTGTAAAAATAGGTTTTAATACCAGAAAAACTTTGTAAAAAATTATTACCAGAAATAAATTTTAGGAGAAAAAAAACTATTACTTGAAAATAATATTACCAGCTATACAATTTTGAGGAAAAAATATTACCAAAAATAGATTTTTGATGAAGCAAAAATATTACCAGGAAAAAAAAAAGTTGTCAACATTAAATGACACCTTGAGATTGATATGCCGTAAAACAAACCAAACCAAACCATCTCATAGCTGTAGAAGT